ATATTGGCTCACAGAACAGGTCTGCATAAATGCAAAAGAATTGAAGTCATCCCCTGTATATTATCAGATCATAGTGCAATCAAGCTGGAGATCAATAGCACAAGAAACTGTAGGAACTTCACAAGCACATGAAAACTGAAAAACACTCTCCTAAACAATCAATTGATTACAGAGGAAGTTAAAGAAGAAATTAGACAGTTTTTACAAATAAATGAAAATGCCAATACAACATACAGGAATCTATGGACACAATGAAAGCAGTTTTATGGGGAAAAATTCATAACATTGAATGCCCACACTAGGAAAACAGAGTGGGCTCAAATAAACAAACTAATGATGAATCTTAGACTCCTAGAAAAACAAGAGCAAGAAAAACCCATAGATTGAACAAGACAGGAAATTATAAAGATCCCAGCAGAAATCAATGCATTAGAAACTACGAAAATGATATAAAAAATAAATGAAACAAAGAGCTGGTTTTTTGAAAGAATAAATAAATTTGACAAACCCTTAGCTAAACTTATCCAGAAAAGGAAAGAAAAGGCTCAGATCCATGCAATCAGGAATGAAAAAGGCAAAGTCACAACAGATCCAAAAGAAATCCAGAGGATCATGAATACCTACTTTGAGAACCTGTACTCCAATAAAATGGAAAACACAGAAGAAATGGACAGATTTTTAGATACTTACAAATTACCAAAGTTGAACAAAGAAGATAAAAACATTTTAAACACCCCAATTACAGTCAGTGAAATTGAAAATGTAATTAAAAATTTACCAGCAAAGAAAAGCCCAGGCCCTGATGGATTCACTGCTGAATTTTACAAGACATTTAGAGAAGAACTACTGCCATTACTCTTCAAACTTTTCAATGAAATTGAAAGGGAAGCTATACTTTCAAATTCATTCCTGGAAGCAAGTATCACTTTGATTCCCAGACCAGGGAAAGATGCAACTAAAAAAGAGAAGTACAGGCCAATCTCCTTAATGAATATAGATGCAAAAATCTTTAATAAGATACTAGCAAACAGAATACAGAGGATTATCAAGAAGATCACCCATCCTGACCAAGTTGGATTCATTCCAGGGATGCAAGGGTGGTTGAACATATGAAAGTCAATAAATGTAATACATTATATTAACAAAGTCAAGGACAAAAACCATATGATCCTCTCAATAGATGCAGAAAAAGCATTTGACAAAATTCAATACTCATTAATGTTAAAAACCCTGCAAAAAATTGGAATAGGTGTTCTATACCTCAACTTAATAAAAGCTATCTATGAAAATCCAACAGCCAACATCATATTAAATGGCCAAAAACTTAAAACCTTCATGCTAAAATCAGGAACAAGACAAGGATGCCCACTATCACCACTCCTCTTCAATATAGTTCTGGAAACATTAGCCACAACAATTAGACAAGAGAAAGAAATTAAAGCTATAAAGATAGGAAAGGAAGAAGTTAAACTGTCATTATTTGCTGATGATATGATACTCTACACATTGAAGACCCAAAAAGCTCCACCAAAAGACTCCTAGATTTAATTTACAGATTCAGTAGAGTAGCTGGATACAAGGTGAACACCCAAAAATCAATAGCCTTCTTATACACAAATAACAGACTCACTGAGAGAGAAATAAGGGAAAAAATTCCTTTCACAATAGCATCCAAAAACATGAAGTATCTAGGAATCAATCTAACAAAAGAAGCAAAAGATCTCTACACTGAAAACTATAGCACTCTGAAAGAAGAAATTGAAAAGGATATTAAAAAATGGAAAGATATCCCCTGCTCCTTGGTAGGAAGAATCAACATAGTGAAAATGGCCATAATACCAAAACTGCTATACAGATTCAATGCAATGCCAATTGAAATTCCAACACTACATTTCTCAGAAATAGAAAAAAGAATTCAAAAATTCATTTGGAACCATAAGAGACCTAGAATAGCAAAAGCCATCCTAGGCAACAGACACATGGCAGCGGGTATAACAATTCCCAATTTGAAATTATACTACAAAGCCACTGTGATAAAACAGCATGGTACTGGCAAAGGCCAGGCCTGAGGATCAGTGGAACAGGCTGGAAGACACAAAAACAAATCCAGATGTTCTCAGCTAACTCATCTTTGACAAAGGAGCTGACCATCCTCAGTGGAGGAAAGATAGACTCTTTAATAAATGGTGTTGGAAAAACTGGACAACCTGCCACAGTTTAAAACTAGACCCTTATCTTTCACCATGCACTAAATTAAAATCCAAGTGGATTAAAGATCTAAATATTAAAACAGAAACATTAAACTTGCTGGAAGGTAAGTTAGGCAGAACTCTGGAAGACATTGGCATAGGAAAAGACTTTATGAACAAATCCTCAGTAGCATGGGAACTAGCAGAAAGAATCAACAACTGGGATCTCATCTTATTAAAAAGCTTCTGTACTTCAAAAGAAACCATCAGCAGAACTAAGAGACAATCTACAATGTGGGAAAAAATTTTTACCAGCTGCTCCTCAGGCAAAGGACTATTATCTAGAATATATAAAGAACTCAAAACAATCAGCCCCCCCAAATATAAAGACCCAATTCAAAAATGGGCATCTGAAATGAACAGACATTTCTCAGACAAAGAAGTAAAAGCAACAATATATGAAAAATGTTCCACATCACTGGTCATTGGTGAGATGCAGATGAAAACAACACTGAGATTCCACCTCACCCCACAAAGAATGGCTGCTATCAAGAAATCACACAATAACAAATGTTGGTGGGGTTGTGGGGAGAAAGGAACCCTTCTCCATTTTTGGTGGGAGCGCAGACTGGTGCAACCACTGTGGAAATCAATATGGAGATACCTCAAAGAGCTTGGACTGGAGGTTCCATTTGACCCAGCCATCCCTCTGCTGGGTATCTTTCCAAAAGAACTAAAAGAATCATATCACACGGATGTATGCACAACCATGTTTATAGCGACACAGTTTGTAATAGCTAAAATTTGGAAACTGCCCATTTTCCCATCAGTTGGAAACTGGTCAAAGAAGATGTGGTTTTTCTATAAAATGGAATATTACTCAGCCATAAAGAATGAGAAAATAGATTCATTCATAGGAAAATGGATACATATTGAAGATACACTCCTAAGTGAAATAAATAAGTCACATGTGTAAAAACCGAATAGTTTCTCTTGTGTGAATAAACTGCAATAATACATAAGATCCTAATAAGATTGCAGACATTGTGAAATGGGAAGAAAGGGGCTAAAGGTGTAGGTAAGGTGGGATGGATAGGGGAAGTCGAATAAGGGAAAAGAAAAAAAAATGTGAGATAAAGAAAAGATGGAAATAAAGTGCTTGTAGATGGGGAGCGGAGGAGGGGGTGAAGGGAGGGCAGGGATAAGTGGAAAAAATGAGAACCAAGTCCTGTCATGTAGAGGTACAAGATCCCAAGAATGAATGTAACTGTACTGTATCCCTAAAATGTACCAATAAACTCAATTAAAGCTGAAAAATAAGAAAGTCAAAGAAATTGAAGACTGCTAGTAGAAACTATAGGATTTTGTACAGACCAACTTAATGTATACACACACACACACACACACACACACACATGGGCAGAGGCACACATTCCAAAAATAGGAGTGGTCTTATTGAGTAGAGGCAAATTTGGCAAACTCTGCCAGTCTCCAGCTAGCACACCAGGCACCAGGGAAATTTCACTGGTATTTCTAGATATATTTGTAATAATAAAGATAAGAGTAACCATTATAAGTAGTCTGAGATTTATTGAGCACACCTATGCTTTACCACCATTCTATTGCTAAATCCTCACAACATCCCACTGAAGCAAATAATGCTGTCACCCCATGTTACAAGTGAGAAAACAAAGGCTTAATGAGTTTATGTAGCTTGTTAGTAGTTCGTGAATGTTGAGCCTATTCCCTCTCCTTTGAACTATGTCCTTTTGGCACATTACGTGGTCCATTGTCAGTCAGATGTATGAATTCTTAACACAAGGAATTTCACATACAGCTTTACACAGAGTTAAACTCCTTATTTACTGAGTTATGATTTAAACTGTTGCCATAATCTGTTATATTTTTACATTTGTCAATGTATTTTGACCCATTTTGTGGAAGTAGGTATACATTTCTCAGAAATCCTTTACAGGTTTATTATTTTATTTTTTAATTTATTCATTAATTTATTGGTATTTTTTAGGTATACAATATGATGACATTCATCATTGAGAATATGTACCTTTTCATGATGTATCTTGGTTCTTGTTTTTTCACCACTCCCCTGCTCTCCCTTCTACCCCTCAACCCCTCCCTATTTACAAAGACTTTGTTTCTGTTTTTTCCTTTTCTTACCTTTTTTTTTCCTTTCCCTTCTCTCCTTCCCCCTACCTCTCACACTTCCCTTTCCCTTTTCCCTTTGGACATTTTATTCCTATTTCACATAATCTAAATAAAGATCAAAATGTACAAGTTCATTTTTGTTTTCTTGTGACTTTTTTGTGTAGTTGGTTGAACTCTACAGAGTAGAGATTTCTTGCGAAAACAGACGCGTATATTCTCAAGCATCTTGCAAAGCCCTGTTATGAAGTCTTCTCAAAGTTCACTCTTCAGAGATTAATATATGCAAAATATCTTCAGAAATACTTTAAGAGCGTATACTTAAGGAAGTCTTTGAACTAGGTGCAGCAGTGTGCACTTGTAGTCACAGCTACTTAAAGGGCCGAGGCAGATCACTTGAGCTCAAGAGTTTAAAGCCAATCTGAGCAATACAGTAGGCCCCAGTCTCATAATAAAGTTTCTCATATGTCTATGATTGAAGTTCTCAATGACAATTTATTCAGTACTAATGTATGTTTTACTCTTTTAATGGGCCTAGATATATGATAAAGATCCTAGAGGAACATCAGTCATACTTTCTTGAAACTCCCTAATTTATATTATCCAATATTTACAACATTTATCCATAAAATAGTAAATAAATAAGCTATGACTTATCTTTACCCAAGAGACCCGTGGAATTTCATCTTCCGACAGGCTTCTCTGACAGTTGGTGTGGGGATGTTCAGCTTTTCCAGGTATGGCAGGGACTTCTATACCTCACACTATGAAGGCAAAGTGAAGAAGCTCCACAAAAAATCTTCCAGTGACTATTCCATTTTTGATAACTATTATATTCCTGAAATCACTAGTGTTTTACTTCTGCGATCCTGTAAGACTTTAACCCATGAGATTGGACATATATTTGGACTGCGACACTGCCAGTGGCGTGCATGCTTAATGCAAGTCTCCAACCACTTGGAAGAAGCTGGCAGGCTCCCTCTAAACCTTTGCCCTATCTGCTCATGCAAGTTACAGTGTTCCATTGGCTTCAGTATTGTAGAAAGATACAAGGCACTGGCAAGGTGGATCGACGATGAATCCATTGACACACCAAGAGCAACTCCAAAGCATAGTCGTGAGAACAGTGTGAATTTGCCAAAGCCCGTGGAAGCCTTTCAGGAATGGAAACAGTGGATAATGAAATGCCTTGCTGTACTCCAAAAATAAGTCTTCAGATAGGAGTAATAAAACAAATACTTGCACAGTAAAAAAAAAAAAAAAAAAGCTAATTGCAACAATTTTTTTTCCATTTTCCTTCTCATGTCCTATGCAGAATCATTTCTGATCATTTGGTTGCAAATTACCTGAATCAAGAAGGTTAATTTACTGTTCCAATGTTTGGAAAAATCTCATCAAGCCCAGGACAAAAGGAGTATCTAGATCTTCTAGGGCCATGGTAGCCAGAATTAGATGGCTTTTATGAACTGTGTTTCTTTCTTCAGCTCTCAGAAGACAGTTTGCTTCTGTGTAATCTCTCTGCATCTACTGTGGGCTTCTGCCTCTGCAAAGAGATTTGCTGTGATTGCTCAGACCATTTTAGCTTCTGGCTTTTGGTCTCATCCCACTGCCTTAGGAAAGCAATCTCAGCTTGTGTAGCACAAGTGTGTACCTCAGCCCACTCAACAGTAGGGAGATATGCAGTATCACACTGTGCACTTGCCCTCACCAGGTCTGTGGAAAACTGGAGGAGAGAGTTTAGGTGGTTTAGCTAAGAAAGGAGACAGGGTGCAAGGGAGGACATGGCTGCAGAGAAAATATCATTTGTATTATGGCTACCACATTAGAAGCATTGCTTTTCCAGAATCTGGTTATTTATGGACTAATTCAAAGAGCATTTCTTTCATACTTAGATGTTTCCATAAAAGCCTTACTTGGGTTTATAGAATTTAAGGATGGACTTTGGAAAAGGAGTCCTACCAGACCAGAAATTATATAAACCAGAAGACAAAGCATAGCTTACCAATTTGGTTTAGACATAAATGGGAATTTCAGGGACCTCTTTATTGGATGGTCACATTTGCCTCCAAAGCTCTGTTCTTAAGCAATATTCACAATACTCAAGGCTGAAGCTTTCCCTGAGTGTTTTGGAAATCAGAGATGGAAAATTTAGTGGATAGTACTGGCTAAAGTCCAATGCACACCAGTGCAATGTGTGCAGGAGGTGGGGAGTATTGTTTAAAACCACCACTGAATGTAGTAACTTCTGCCTTTCCGTGGAGAAGATAAGGGTGTGAGTAGGAGATAATTCATATAACTGGAGGAATAAATCTCATCACTGCTCTTTTCCTTTGCAAAATGAGATGGATGGGGAAGAATGGCTGAAGCTCGGATTGAGATAGCCTGGAGTTTATCAGACAACATCACCGAGTCATAAGGACTACAAAGTGGATCTATACTTAAGTGTGGGTATGAAGAGTTGGCAGAACTTAAGGGAACTTTTTGCAGCAATATAGAAGACATTTAAAGTTTTTGCTTCTGTGAGAGAAAAGCTGGGTAAAAAAAGCAGAAGCTAACAGAGAAAAGTCTTGAAACATAGGAAAGAGTTTATAGAGCTTTTCTAATATTCTAAGGCATGTGTGTTTGTGTGTGTGTGTGTGTGTCATAGAAAATAGGGAGATAATATACAGAACAGCTAGACAACTCATTAATGGAACTAGACTAGTAACCAAGAGCTAAGAGTCATCAGTGACTTGAAAAAAATTTTTAATTTCTCACTACTGCTTGGTATAGAAAGTTTACATTGTGAAGAAGTCCACCTTAGTGTATACCATCATCCCATATGGTCTTTTTATAATGGGGTGTTGTAACATTTCCACCAAGAAATAGAGTCTGTGATCCTTATTCTGAACCGGAAAGATCATTATAAGTGCCTCAACCAATAGCATGGGGGGTAGACATGATGCCACTTGACTTCTGAGGGTAGGTTTAAAAAGGCGGCATGATTTCCGCAGGCTCATGCTTTCCTTCAGGATGCCTGCACTTGGAACAATATCACCATTATGTAAGGAATCCCAGGAGAAATAGAACAGCTCTGTGTATGTGTATGTGTGTCTGTGTGTGGTGTGTGTGTAGGCATTCTAACCAGTAGCCCCAGATAAGCATGCAGCCAGTCTTAACCACTGAAAAAGTGGGCAAGTAAGGGTTCTGATGATTCTATCTTCCAGTCATCAAGCTTTCCAGATGACAGCCATAGATCAGGCTGCACAAGAAAGCCATCTCCTCTATGTCCTCACTGAATTCCTGACCCAAAGAAACCACAGGAAATAGCAAACAATTATTCTTGTTTTAAAGCACTAAGTTTTAAGATAATTTGTTATTCTGCAAAAGATAAATAATGTGTCCAAACTCCCAAGATTCCCAGAAAAAATTAAAAGGAACTTGGTGATGAATTTTGGATTCATTCTGTTTGAACAAGATCAGGTCTGTCAGATCACATCTGCTAGGCACTTGTCAGAGCCCAGTCACTAGTGTTTGTACTTTTAGAGTACTATCACCTGAGCCAGGTGTGGTGGTACATGCCTGTAATCCCAGCACTCCAGAGGCTGAGACAGAAGGATCGCTGTGAGTTCGAGACCAGCCTGGGCTACATAGTGAGTTCCAGGTCAGACTCAACTACATAGTGAGACCCTGTCTCAAAAAACCAAAAAATAAAATAAAATAAAATAAAAAATAAAAAAGAGTACTATCACCCAAAAGACAAAAGCTGGAGAAGCTTGGGAGTAGAGTTGATTCATCTTTCAGAAATATAAGTAATTGCTACCTTAACACACTAATAAATCAGTTCTAGATTCAGCATTTATTAACCATGTAACTGAAAATTCACTCTGGTTTTTGCTTAGGTATCTACATTTGTAAAACGATGCAGTACATATTTATGTTTGTAAGGATTAACACTGTAAATGATTGTGAAGTGCTCAGCAAAGTGTCTGATACACCATAAACATTCTATAAATGTTAGCTATCATTATTAATAATGTATTCAGCATAGAGCCTAACACTAAGTGATAGCTTAAGAAATGAAATTGTCATTATTTTAGTACTCCAGACAACTAATCTAACATACTAACATGCCACTAAATTCTAAATTCTTACTTCCATGGCTAATGTTCCTGGAATCTCTGTAGAGAAAATAGAAAATAACTGTAGTATATGGAATTACCAGTTCATCAGTGTGACTACTAAACTTGCCATATAATTGAACTCATTTAAAACATTCTAACCTAAAGTAATTTGTTAGCAGTCAGCCTAAAAAGGCATTGACTTATCTCTGAATGTGTTGGGATATAAATGGCAAATCTTAGAGATATAATCATCTTCTGCCAACCTTGGAAAATATTCATAACTTGCACAATGTGTATTTCAAATTAGACTTTTACATCGTATTTATATATAACTATGTGAAATGTTTGACTCCTCTGTAAAAGAGAGCAGAAAATAGATTCTCTGGGCATTGATAGTTCTACATTAATTATAAAAGAAGTATTTTGATAAGTAAAATAGAAAAAAACAGAAATTTTCTATGAAATACACAATTAGAAGAAGACTCAAGAATGTAGGATTAGGACAACAAAGAAATTCATTGTGTTTTTTAATTGGCTTTTATTCCAATTCTGGGTAAACTCATGATAAGAAAACCTCATTGTTTCCCAATATCAGCAGGAAACCACCTCCAAACTCCAAATCCTATCTTGCCTGGAAAGAAAAAGAAGTGTTTGATGCAGTAACCCGTCTCTATGGTCCATATTTCATTTTTTACTTTAGTATAGATTATTTGAACCACAAAACAGCCATTATGATTTTCTACATTACTGAGAAGCTTGATGTTACAGCTTGTATCCAGATGTGCCCCCAAAGCCTCATACAGTCATAAGTGGGGTTTTTGCAGGTGGCTGGATCTGGAGTGTGTGATGCTGGGATCAAGGTTGTATGGTTATTAAATTAGTCCACTGATTGTTTTGGCATAGTTCTGGGCAGGATTAAGGGTGCCGCACCCTGTGTGCTATCTGCATTAAGGGTGGATAGGCTGGATAAGATATAAAGGATAGATAGATAGAAGCTCTCTTATCATTGGTAGCTTGCTGCTTACTGCCTTTCTGCCCCTGCCTTCTGCCTGCCATGAACTGTCTCTCCTCTGCGATGCCTCTCTGCCATGCCACCCTGCATTGGAATCAGATAACTATGAACTGAAACCTCTATAAACTGGGAGCCAAGTAAACCTTTCCTCCTTTCACTTTGAGTGTTGAGTATTTTGTCTCAGCAACAAGAACATTAACTAAGACATATGGATATATTAAACATAGAGATGTTGTACTCAGACACGACTCAAGAAGACTGTTTTAAATATTCAAAGACAGTGAGCATGGATTCACTGAAGTTTTCTTTTCCCAAAATCAACAAGCCTATCATATGTTCTATGGACATGAACATTTGCAAAATATTCCCCCTTCTTCTAGATAGGTATCAGGTACTCAATGTCCTTAAATTTTAGTGTGGCATTATAAGTATATAATATATAGTTAATATTATTACATTTGAAGACAGCATATTTGTATAACTAGCATATTGAAGATTTGGTAATATTAACTTCCCTAAGGGAAGTAAAATCATCAAAAGCTTGTATATTCAAATAGGCATCAGTTTTTCTTTAAAACTACAGTAAAGAAAAAAGATATTAATCTTTTGTGGATAGCAAATTATCTATGCCTTAAAAGAAAAAATAATTACTTTCTATAAGTGTGCCTTTAAGGTCAACTTATGAGCTACATGTATGCTACACTAGCTTTGATTTGGCATAATGCAGCATTTCTCAACGTATGTCCCAAAGAGTAATGGTGTCTTACATCACTGATGGTTTTTGAGAACAAAGTTTGCAAGGCCAAACAAACTGAGGACAGGAGCCAACAAAAGCTGCTACAATTGTCAACTTGGGCAATAGCTCTATTTATCAATCCTGCTAATGCCCCTTGGGGTGCTCCTTCCACATCCCAGAAGGCAGTATTCTCTGCTCAAGGTACTACAACCAGGGCTCATCTTCTCACCTTTCTACACTATTAGAAATGCATTAGCATTTCTCAGTGGTCATGGTAGGAAAATGTTCTTTAGCCATCTACACATCACTCCAAAGTCTAATTGTGTGTGTGTATGTGTGAAAGAGAGAGACAGAGACA